TACTAATTGGAATTTTCTCTTACAGCTTGAGCCTAAGTGTGTCGCAGGATACCCTCTAGGCGATAGTTCTTGATTACTTTTTGATAAATAATTCGTTCTTATTGCGAAATAGGAGCACTATTTATCAATCTGTAATAAAAGACGTGAGGAAATTCTGTCTTTTTTAAAGACAAACATTTTTGAGGCGAAATACCCAAAAAGAAGTTTGAAAAAAATGAATCCGCCTCGACAATATAGAACTTATCTACATCGAAATTTATGTTGGGTGTTTGGCAAATAGTGGGCACAAGTACTTACAGGACGTCCAGGAATACCATCCGGGCCTCGGTCGCCGGCGTCGCCCTGCAAGATTTTTTAAAAGTTTTCCTTCAGTGTAAACTGCAGGAAAAGCGTACTTACCCGTGGTCCTTTATCGCCTGTTGATCCATAGCCACCATCGGAGCCTTTTTCGCCCTTGTTCCCTGGACCTCCAGGGTATCCAGTGTCGCCTGGGGCTCCACGCAGTCCATTTTGTCCAGGAATTCCTTCCGCTCCAGGTCGGCCCTTTATTCCAGTGCAGTTGCACTTCACTGGCGTGCTACAGCCTGAACATTTCCCCTGAAAGAAAATCGAGTTTTAGTTGCATAATCAAATTGATGGAAACAATCTGGCCAACAAACTCGCCGCTAATCAGGCTATGACTGCCATTTATTGGGTATTGATTAATGAAGACGCTTCTGATCAAAACAGCGCGATTTAATGACGCCTAGTTGTGTATCAAATTGACCTAGAAGCGCCAGAAAAAAATTTTCTTGAACTATCACCGATTTATTGCGTCAAACAATCCTTTTGCCGCGTATATTCCAGTTTTCGTTATTCTAATTAGCTGTAGCAATTAGAATAATTAAACTTCTTGGGGGTGTTGATTGGCTTAAGGCATAGTCTGCCACTGCTCCAGAGAAAGCAATTAAAGCTCGTTATTTCCTGATTGGTTTGCAGACAACAAAATAGATTCTCCAATTTGTATGCTCAAATAGGCCGCAACTATTTGTTATCTTTGAGAGTTGAAATTCACAGGGCGTTTCCTGTTTAACTCCCATACAAATCGCCGTTGATGTGTCGACTCTTTTGACGCCTCAACTTATTAGTGTGGCTTTTTTCTGGATTTATGAGCGGCGTTAACGGCAAAATTAAAAGCTTCACTAATCAACCACTTGATCAACTCTTTAGGAAGATGGTCGTGGAGCAGAAAATTACATAAAAGTGCCTTAAGGTCAGATTTCGATGTGTAATTCGAACACAGTCGGCGCTTGGTTTTGCCGTATTTGGTAATGGGGTCAGACATCAAATTTCAGTCGGTAAATTGCAGGGAAAATAAAAATCAAGTACAAGTTTTAAAGCGCGTTGAATGGCTGATAAATTTGCTTCAATCAGTTTCAGGACTCAATCGATTTTATGCTTCATTTCTTTGACTGATTGGAGATAATCGAGAGAAATTCGAGAAAACCACTTCGGAATTGTGCAATTTATTTTGTGTGTCCAGATTTTGAATAGAAGACTTTTTAAGACAGATTTTGGGTTAAGTGACCATGGGTTAAAAACTGTATATGGCTTTTACAACCGAATTTATACGCTGTCTGGCTGTTTTCAATTTTCTGATATTTTTTTGTCGCTGTGGATCGTGCATGCAAAACATCTGTCCATTATTTGCCCGGATCCAACTCATCTGTGGCATCATGTAAGAATTGAAAATCTCTGCGATAAACTTGGGCTGATTGGTCACGCTGCTCGTCCACACATTAGCATTAATTGTTGTTGATTAGTCCCATTAAAAAATAATTTACCAAAGAAAATACATTTTCTGTTGGTTTGCTGGAAATATCGACCTGAAAGTTTGGAGCAGTTTGCAGATATTTAGGACATCCTCATTTCGGAAGCAGCTAAGTGCTATTCATTGAAATTTCCTTAATAAAATGTATGTAGATTGAGAAATTATTTATATTGGAGCATGTTTGTGTGTTCAAACTGCCAACATTTAGGCTCGGATATTTGAATGTTTGTTTTTTAGCGAAAGCGACTAATGTTTATAGTATCTATGTATTATGGCCAGATGGTCGATGATTATTTAATAGCAAAGTTGTTAATGATTCCTGCTCGTTAAAACGTCGAGCGTTTTATTTTTGCTGAAATGGTATACTTCCTGCAGACCCAGGAGGAAAACAAATATTTTTCAAGTTCTCCACACACATTTTCGGTCATCCGGAGAGAAACGCTTTTCTGGGAGTTATTGAAAATTTCGGCCACGACTTCGAAGCAGGAGTATTTTAAATCCAGCACGCAACTTGATATTTTGCAAATTTATATCACTTTTTTATTGAATAAGAATATTATTTTTCCAGTTCTGCAAGCTTTTGGGCTAAAATTTTCATTTGAGCTGAAGCAGAATGCTTCTACAAATGTTTCAGCTTTGGCTTTGAGGTCGAATTATTATTAATTCGTGCACGAAAGTTTTTTTAATCGCGCCAAGAGAAAAGTTCGTTTCTCCAGTTCTGTAAGCTTTTGCACTAAAATATTTCTTTTATCTCAAGAGAAATACTTTTATAAATGTCCTGTGAAAAAGTCGGCTACGGTTTTAATACACAACTATTTTTAATTCACCACGAAACTTGAGTGTTCAAAAATTTCTGTTTTTTTTAACCAAACTAAAAAGAGAAAAAAACGTTTTCCAAAATAAAGAAACATATTTTTGAGAACATTTGGCGGAATTTTCAGCTTCGACTTTTATGCGGAAATATTTTTAATTCATTACCGAAGTCGAGTCTTCGTCAATTTGTCTTGTCGAACAAATCATGAAGAACACAAAGTTTTTGAAGTTCGGCCTTTCCACAAAATATTTGATTTCATTTGAGGTAGAATACATTTCTAAACATCCAGTGCAAATTTCGGCTTCGACTTTTATATAGAAACGTTTTTAATCCACGACGAAACTTAAGACTTTGCAAATTTATGAAGTACTTTTCTCCTGGATCAAGAAGACAGACCGTTTTGCAAGCTTTGCACGTTTTTTAACTTATCTTTTCTAAAGTCTAAAGCAGACTACTTGTGTAAATGTTCCATGAAATATTCAGATTTGGGTTCGATGCAGAAGGATTTTTAATTCATAACCGAACTTAAGTTTTGTCAATCTATATTGACACCTTTAAAACACACCAGGAAAAAATTGGTTTCCAAGTTCTGAGAGATTTGGCACATGAACAGTTTTATTTCTTTGAAGCAGAATATATTAGTAAAGGTCCCGTGAAAATTTCAGCTTCGGCTTGTATGCAGAAGTATTTTTAATCCACGACAGAATTTGAAATTTTGAAAATGTATGTATTTGTCTATTCAGAAGGAAAATGGAAAAATATTCTTCAAGTTCTGGAAGCTTTTGAGCTAGAACGTTTATTTGAACTCAAGTATACCCTTGAGCATATTCTGCGAATTTTTTAGCTTTGCCTCTCAAATCGAATGATTTTTAATTCAGGAGCGAACTTGAGTTTTTGCCATTTCACATAATTTCCTATCGCACCAAGAAGAGAAAAATGGTTTCTCCAATTCCGTAAGTAATTTCATCTACGTCCCCTATCCAGATGCACTTTTAATCGACGAGGGAACTTGAGTTTTCATACATTTTATAGGAACTTTTCGCCCCATGACCAAGAAAAAAAAATCCTATTTCTGCAAATTATTCAGCTAAAGCGTTTATTTGAACGGAAGCAAAATAGATTTCTAAATGTTCTAAGAAAACTTCAGTTTTGCTATTTCTATTGGTTCCATGACCAACTTTGCTATTTCTATTGGTACATAGGGAGACCATTTGAAAGCTTGTAACAATAAAATAAAAAAGGTAGGAAAATTCCCTAGCAATCGTTTCTCTAATAAGATTGGCGAACCGAATTAATTAGCGGTGTTAAGGCTAGGAGAAAATTGCAAAAACGGGACAATATTCAAAAGAAACTTAAAAAAACATAATCAGTGGATGATGCAAGTTTTCCAGGCCATTCGAAACAATGACGAACCGACACGTTCCGAACAGATTTTTTTTATCAGCCCCAACAAAGTAGCAGAACGAAACGGTTTTTATCACGAAGAGAATTGTCCTCCACATACCGTCAAAAATGGGTGATAAAATTCGCAGCATTTGTTTCCGTACCATTTTGATAACGCTCATTCAATGTGGTGGCACAATTAACAGCTTGCGTCTGTCCACCTACCGAATTGAGTCACATGAAAAGGGGTTAACAAAAAAGGATGTGGAACACGTGCAAACTCCTTATCTGCAACAGTTGACCGACTAACAGAGCTAAAAAAAAATTCTTATATTCTGTTGCTTTTTTACGTGAATTTTTGAAAAGTTGTCACCAATTTTGTCCAAAAAAATTATCCCAATCGACTGTTTCACGCAGCGTTTCATGAAGTGTTAACACAAGGTGGTGGTCACATTAAGGAGCAGTTTATTTTTTTTGAGCCACTAATACAACATTTATCGATTTTTTAACGACTAGTTGAAAAAGCGACATTTACTGAAAAAATTGGGGAAATCTGCCAGTTACTTTAGCAGATAACTTATCCAACTTGCCGGTTGTAAACGTTAAGGTGAGATGAAGCATTCGATAAGATGTTTGTTCAATAAACACAAAAGTCTAAAAAAATCCAACATACGTCCTGCTGATGTAAAAGAACACGTTTAGTGAATTTATGGAAGACATCTAGCGTAGGTGCACTCTGTAGGAAGTACGCATTGATATTAGCCACCCACAAAGCGTTTCGTTTACAATCCCAATTTAATCGAATTGATTCGATGGTTAATTTTTTCGGTTTGGTTGACTCAAAGTGCACAAAGTATCAGTTAATTTTTTCTTTTTTCCTACTAAAGAGGCAAAGCAAAAGCATTTTCTCCGGTAGTTTCAAACTAAAAATTATCGAGGAAAATCATAATTTAAATGAAAAATAACGCATTTAGCTGCTAATGGCTGGCAAGTGATGTTTCATAATTCAATAATTTTCTATTAATGCAACAACAATAATTCCTCCTCTTATCTGAACATGGACTGAAATTAATTTATAGTTAAACTCAGTATAAACACAAGCGATCTGATCTGGTACCGGTTAAATTACAGAGCCCATTGTGCCGGTAACCTGTTATTGGGCACAACCCACTAACATTACGAAACCGACACATTATTATAAGACAAGACAGATCATTTCAATATTGGGCCGTTGTATATGGAACGCAACCAGGAGTTTTCTCATCTTCTTGCCTTCTCAATTAATTCTCGCTCTTTACAATGATTATTTTGTTTCTAATTCAGGCGTGAAAAACTACTAGGTTCCTCTTTTGAAACACTTTAAGAATAACCCAGAAGAAGATCCAATCATCTCAATCTATTCTTAGGGTCGAAACATTCGTAAATGAAGAAAATGAATGCTTTCGATATAACAAAGAGTTCCACACAGCAATTCTTTTACGCTTGCATTGGACGTAAATGTAAGGATTCTCAGATCCGCTTCAGAAAAGAAATATCCGAATAATGTTCCAATAATTTTACACGTTTCGATGCTTTAGACGATAAAAGTCC